CTGAAAGCTTTTCCTCTAAGAACTAGAACAAAATAAGGATGGCCACTTCCACCACTTCTATTCAACATTATACTGCCACTAAATTCTTGGAAGAAAGCGTCATGTCAGGAAGGTTTTAAGCTTCTGGAACACTCTATTCTAGGTCGAATGGGAATATCCTCAACGAACACTACCCACTACAGGAAAGAAGATGTCTGCTTTGGTCATAGAGGTTAGCCAAAGACTGGCACAATGCCTAGCTCCAAATGACTGCCTTCCCTTTTCCACAGTCTTCATTCAAACTCCTCCTTTCCCTGGTATTTTTTGTGTTTTTGTTTGTTTGTTTTGTTATCCTGTTATTAAAAAAAAAAAAAAGTTTGACATATAAACAGTCCTTTTAATAACAGCCTTTCATGCTTTCTTCAGTTCACTGATCCACAGTAACCCTTAGAATAAACCCTGAACCCCAGCTCTAGTAATAATTTAACAATTATCCATGCTTTTATTACAACCATGAGCTATTCATACACTCTTGCTGCTATGCTTGTGGTTTCACTGTACTCAGTAAAGCTATCTTGTCAGTACCTCACCCCATTGAAGTACCTGTCACCTCCTTCTCAGCTATCAGATTTGGGCTCCTGTCAGTCATGGGTAATTGAATTTAAAAGGGACACCTGAAGCAAAATAAGCCTGTCAAATTAATTCTTTCAAAAAAAATTAGAATACGAGTTACTCAGTCTGACCTGATTTTTGAATGAAAGACTTGAAAACTTGGGAAGTTTGAGTTGGTGACCTTCTGCCAGCCACGTGATGTGAAGAAGTAGAAAAAAAATGAAGGCAATTTACTGGAGAAAAAATAAAGTTCTGGTAGTTTTTCAGTTCAAGCTCCTATTTCCTCTGTCCCACTCATCACAAACCTGATGGACTTGCAAAGAACCACATCCTTCTTCAAAGATTGAGGTGTCTCTGACATAATCATCTCCATCTGCTATGGTTTAGATTTGGTTTCTTTGGCCCCACCAACTCTCATGTTGAAATTTGATCCCTGATGTTGGAGGTGGGGCCAAATGGGAGGCGTCTGGGTGACGGGAAAAGATCTCTCATGAATAGCTTGGTGTCTTCCTCCAGGTAATGAGCAAGTTCTTGCTCCATGAATTTCCATGAGAGATCACCCCCTCCCCAAAGCAAGACCTAGTTGTTAAAAAGAGCCTGGCACCTTCCTCTGCTGTCTCTCACTTCCTCTCTCTTGCCATGTGTTCTCTGCATGCTAGCTCCCCTTCCCCCTCTACCATGAGTGGAGGCAATCTGAAGCTCTCACCAGAATCAGATGCTGGTGTCCATGCTTCTTGCACAGCCTACAGAGCCGTGATCCAAATAAACCCTTTTTATTTATAAATTATCCAGCCTCAGGTATTCCCTTTTAAGCAACCCAGGTGGCCTAAGACACCACCTCCTGTCCTTTTTACTTTTAAATGCTTGCTTTTGTATATCCTCTTCTTCCTTCTTGCATTCAGTATAAAGATTAATTTTCTTTTTTAAGATTAATCCTTCAACTTGAGTTGGGCCCATACATTTCTACCTCCTAAATAACCCCAATAGTTATTGTTCAATTGCCCACTCCTCTACCCATTCTTTTATTTCTATTTCTCTAAGGATTTCCTTTAGTCTCTAAGCAGGCACCTGTGTTCCTTCACTTTGTCACCAAACTACTAGAGAGAGAGGCATGCACTTGGTAAACAAGGACTGAGTTCAGATAACTGCAAGTCACTGTGCTGAGCATAATTACATACATTACCTCACTTAACAACAATACCACAGCTCTGCCTACTGCATTTCACATCCTCATGCTCCATTAAGCCCAGGAAGCTGTCCTCTTCTTTCATCAATTCATAGAAGTATTTATACCAGAGAGCACCTATGGACTCCAAACCACCTAAATTATTTTATTTCTCATTCTCTTTGGCCTTTGCATTACATGACAGTAAGGATTTATCTTCTGTGGTAGGAAGAATAACAACTCTCCAAATATGTTCATGTCTTAATCCCTGGGTCCTATAAATATGCTACATTACATGGAGAAAGAGACTTGGCAGATGTTATTGAAGTTACAGCTCATGAGTTAGAGAGTTTCACAGATAATCCAGGTGGGAACAAGGTAATCACATGAGCACTTTAAAGCCAAGCATCGGTAACAGATCGCCATGTATTCTCTGCATGCATGAGAAAAGAGAAGAAGAAATAGAAGAAGAAAAGAGAAGAAATAGAAGAGAAGAAGACATAGAAGAAAAAAAAGAGATTTGAAATGTGAGACAATCTCAAGCCACAGTTGCTGGCTTTGAAAATGGAGAAGAAACCACAACCAAAAAATGCAGTCAGCCTTTGGAATCTAGGAAGGATTCTCTGGCAACAGCCAGTGAGGAAATGGGACCTTGGCCCCACAACCACAGTGAATTGTGCCAACTCTAAGGAGCAAGGAAGCCTACACTTCTCCAAGGCCTCCAAAAAAAAAAGAAAAATACGGCTTGGTGATATCTTGATTTTAGGCAGATGAGACCCATGCCAGAATTATGACTTAACTGAAGATAATAAATGCCTGTTGTTTAAGCCACCAAGTTGTCAGAGGCATGTAAACCAGAGCAACTCTATCTTAAGTAGGAGCTGGATAAAATGAGGCTAAGACCTACTGGGCTGCATTCCCAGATGGTTAAGACATTCTAAGTCACAAGATGAGGTAGGAGTTCAGCACAAGACACAGGTCATAAATGCATTGCTGATAAAATAGGCCACTTCTTCTAAAAAAAGAAGTCAGCTAAAACCCACCAAAACCAAAATGGTGATGAGAATAATCTCTGGTCATCCTCACTGCTACACTCCCACCAGTGCCATGACACTTTACAAATGCCATGGCCACATCAGGAATTTACCCTATAAAAAAGGGAGTAATGAAAAATTCAGCCCTTGTTTAGCATATCATCAAGAAACAGCCATAAAAATGGACAACCAGCAGCCCTTGGGGCTGCTCTGTCTATGGAATAGCCATTCTTTCATCCTTTACTTTCCTAATAAACTTGCTTTCACTTTACTCTGGGGACTTGCTCTGAATTATTTCTTGCATGAGATCCAAGAACCCTTTCTTGGGGTCTGGATCAGGACCCCTTTCTTGTAACATCTTTCTGGCAACCACAGAAGGGACCACAAAGGCTAACTTTGCGTAAGTGGTGGGGTCCAGTAATATCTTTCTAGTGACCACAGAAGGGGCTAGAGTGTGAAAACCCCTGACCCAAAGGCTAACTTTGGGTAAGTGATGGGGTTCAGTAACATCTTTCTGGTGAATCATGAAAGGGACAATAATGAGGAGAACCTGACACAAGGAAGATAGGCTGCAGCACTAATTGGATGACTTTGGGTAAGTGGGGTGCATATACCCAGGTAAAGGATGGCATTGGGCTGGAGGCTCAACTTAGGGGAGTTAGAGTCTCTAAGACAGTGTAGGTTAGAGTCCCCTCTTAGTAAAAAGCAAAGGACACTTGACCAATCTTGGTTTAGAGGCCCAATTTAGGAGGGGTAGAGTCCGTTCTAAGATTTAGGGAACTAAAGGCCCATCTCCGTAAAGTCCCTTTCATCTAAGAATGGGTTTGGCACTACGGGATGTTATTCTCTTTGCCTTAATCTGTTTTATACTCTTTGCTGAGGGCTGTAGGTAACAGGATTAGGCAAGTACAGAATTGTGGGACATGGGGAGCCTTTTCTTTCCTAAAGGGGGAAACTTGAGAGCTGCTGAAACTGCTGAAAAAGATCCCTTCAGACAAGAGTCTGCCTGAACTTTTCAGTGTCACTGTAATGAGTGGATCTTTCTCTGGCCTTCCAGAGCACTTCGTCACAGAGGTAACCAAATTTATCAGCCAATTTTGTTTTTAGCTGTGGTTGTCCTGAGACATTTTGTCATTTATAAACAATTGTCTCATTTTGGTCCACTTTAGAAGGTGGTTTTATAATCAACTGTAGGACTTTACCAGGTGCACTTAAAGGCAGGCTTTTTGATAACTTTGGAGTCTGTGACATTAGAATGGAGGAAAAATTTTCAGAACTCTAGTAGAGAGCTGGAATGTTCATGAATATCAAACAGAACAGCAGTTAACTGAATTGGCTGAACCAACAGAAGACTAAAGTAATCTTTTTAACTTTTTGCTTGAAATATTACCAATCCTTTTTTTAGTTTTTCAGAGTCAAGAAAAGTTTTATTTTTAGCTATTTACAAATTTTAACAATTGAATAAAGTATACGGTGAACTAAATTTGGAGCATATATGTTTCTCTCTACCTGATATCTCCAGAATTTGGCAACTATTTGTGAATATTCTTAATTTATGGCAATATAGTTATTCACAGAAGTGCAATAAGAATCTGTTTTGTTTTGCAACAGGACATAATTGGAGAAATTGGTTATTTTACCAAGGTTTTGACTGGAATGGCATGCTTTCCTTTAAGGAATCAAACTTGACTTGTAAAGCCAATAAAAGGCCTTGGGGAAATACCTCACATCTTGTCTCCACAGTCCCTGTACAGGGTTCCTAACCTGTGGTAAGCAAAGAATGCCAGCTTCTTATAGGTCCAGGAGCCCCAAGTTATCTTGGGACCCCAAGAGGAGAAAAATTTACTCAATTCATAGGTATTTAATGGTATAAACCCATGGGAGGGCTCAGCTCTAAAAAAGTTTTATCTAAGATTCCTTCTATGGAACAGAGTTCCATTAAAGCCAATTTAAAAAGAGCTTATCTGAAAAAAATTATTATTCTTGCTGCTCTTTATACATATAATCAGGCCAAGTATAATTAAGCAAATAAGTCTTACCATTATTTGTCTTTAGTAAATGGGAAACTAGAAAGAGAAGTTATTCTGTTTTTCCTACTTATTCTCCTGGCCATCTCATAAGCTTTCATAACCTCAGCAACCACTTCTATTCATATGGTACCAAAATCTAAACTCATGCCCCTGACCTCTCTCCCAACTGCCTAGCAGTCATCATCATCTGAGTAATTCATCATGCAAAATATCTGAGATGTCCAAAACTGAACTCCTTGCTTTTTTCTCAAAGGTTGCTTAACCTCTTCGTTGTTCTATTTCTTTACTCATACTGAAATGGGAAAAGTTCCTTTGTCCCTGTCTCAGGGAGTATGATGGGAATCTGGCTCACTTCTTTGGTGCCCCACTGCTCAAACCTCTAGGGGGAGCACACAGACAGGCAGGCTGTGGGGCTCCAACCCCATGGCAGTGTCTAGGGGTAAATGTTTATAGCTCCTGAAGCCTCAGTGTGTGTGTGTTACAGGGTGCTCTTTTAGTTTTGCTGTCTGTAGGTGGCTTGCATTAGTCAGCTCAATTAGACCCCCTGCCTTATCACAAGGACAGAGGGATTTTTGTATCCCCTGGTTTTTTGTCTTGGTGAACTGGAAGAATTGGATCACATGTGGGCTTGGAGAATGAGTGCAAGGTTTTATTGAATGAAAGTAGCTCTCAGCAGATGGGGGAGCTAGAAGGGAGATGGAGTGGAAAGGTGGTTTTCCACTGGAGTCAGGGTGCTCAGAGGCTGGGATCTCCTCTGACCACCCTGGTAAAACTCCATGTTGCTCCACCCAGTCGATGGCCTGAGGCTCTGCTGGTGCCTGTCAGTGTGCCCTTACACCAGTGCATTCCTCTTGACATCCAGCTGCCTGTGTCTTTTTCTTCTAGTGTGTTCCTCTCAACATCCACCCACTTGTGTCTGTGTCCCCTAGGGTCTCAAGGTTTTTATAGGCACAGGATGGGACAAGCCAGGGTGGTCTTGGGATATACAACATTTGGGCACAAAGGCAGTAGTGCCTGTCCTCATGTAGGTCTGTGGGCACAGGCCTGAGGGTGGAGCCCTAGCCATGAATCCACCTTTCTCTGCCCAGCACTTCCCTGCTCCCCTCCTGTATCAATACTACCATTCTATCAGTTACCCAGATTCAAAAACTCCAAATTACCTTTGATATCTCCTATTAAAAACACACAACTTTCCAATTATTTACCAAGTCCACGTGTTTCTTTCTAGCTTCCTCTTTACCATTCCAGATTTCAGCCAGGAATTTTATCAGCCAGGTTTGAATAATAGAAACCGATTGCTTAAAATAGAGGAACGTAAATATAGCAGATTAGCTGCACTGATGATAGAAGAACTAAGAAACCAAACAAGTGATAGAGAGGCAACCCAGAAATTAGTATGACAGCAAATTCTACCTGCCCTACCCTAGAGAAAAAAAAAATGGAAGATAGCGTTACCAAAGCTGGAGCCATGGAGAATTTATCACTGCTGCCAGAAGGATCACCTGAGGTACAGGAAGTAAAAGATAATTATCCTGGCTTCTTTCTCCTCCCTCCATTCTTCCCTCAGAGTCTCTCATTGGCCACACCAGCAGGAAGTCAGCTGACAGCCAATGTGCAGCCTAAGAAACACAGGCGGCAATAATGAGCTTGCTGGTAATTAGTAGAAGAGAGAGGTATGGATCTGAAAGCATTTAAGCAGTTGAATGACATATACTACAGTCCCACTCCTCATTTTTCCTCACCTTGACTATTTGTAATTGTCTTTAATTGATCTTCTTGCTTCATGTGTTTCTTCACACCATCCTATAACAATACTAGCAAATTAATCTTCCTAAAGACCAATATAATTACATTGCTTTCCTCTACAAAAATTTTAATAGCTCTCTATTGCCTTCTGAAAAATTTCCTAATCCTTTAGGATGGTGTAGGAGATGATTATTTTGATGGCCCCCAGGGAACCACATCTCTCAGTATTCATGTCCTTATGTGATCTTCTACATTGACTCTAGGCCTGGCCAATGAATGGGACACAACAAGCCTTGATGTGAATTTGAACATTGAGGCTTATTCTGTTGAAATGCTTGCTCTTGACATACAGCCACTATGTAAAGCATCTAAACTAAAGACTGAAGTAGAGAGATAAAGGGGTTGAGGGGAAGGAGGGAGTCACAACCTTTCAGACACCCCTGTTAAACAAAAGATAAATGAGTGAAGCCATTTGGACATTGCCATCTAACTACAATCTGACTACCACCATATAAGAGATTCCAGTATGACCCACAAAAGAGCCACCCAGCTGAGCCCTAGCCAACTCATAGAATCATAACCAGGTAAAATGGTTGTCTTTTTAAGCTGCTAACTTTTGATATTGTTTGTTATACAACAATAAAAAGTCAAAATTCTCCAGATCCTCCCATAATTATATAAAGGTCTAATACCTGTAATACATTATTATTCTATAACAATTGTAATGGTTCTGCCTCTCTGATCAAACTCTGACTGCTATCCCTGGCATTAAAAACACTCTGCAATCAGACCACAGCCAGCTTTTCCCTGTTTATCTCTGACTACTGTATTCCATTCTCTTTTACTCCAGGAACCAAATCTTGGTTTCTTACACATTCTCTTTACTTTCTAGATCTAAATCATCTTTACCCAGAGGGTAGCCTGCTGCTAGTGTTCACATAAGTAAACTGAGTTAATATCACCTCCTGCAGGAAGTTTTACCAGATTCAACAGATAATAACCTCTCCTTTGAGACACCCATACATTTTATGGATTGCATATAATGTACCTACCTGCATAATTGTTATATCTTTTGTAAAACTGGTAGCTCCATGAAGACCAGGATGGGATTCTTAATGCAGCTTTTTCTCTCCTCAGCACTCAAAACAGTGGCTAGTATAGTATGTGTGATCCTTAAATGTTTGTGAATTGACTGGCTGGCTCAATTAAATATCAGTTAATCTTGAGTGATCACCAGGAAAAAGAAAACAAGTAATGCATGTTTACAGAATAAAAACATTACTGGACACCAACAAGAAACTCATAAAATACTTATACATTGAATGACATATTCATGTGACTATATATAAACTTTATATTTCAGGAAGCATATTTTTCTTAAACGTCCTGTAGCTCTCAAAATGTTTGATCATTTAAAGTTATAATTACCTTTTCTTCTTTTCCTAAGACTCATTTTTTTCTTCCTTCCTTTGTATTACTTTCTTTTCCCAGGTCCTAATTCTTTTTTTTTTTTTTTTTTTTTTCTTTTTTTTTCCCAAAGGCAATAAGCGTTTTTTAAGCAGGCTGCATGCTGCCCAAACCCCCATGCCCAAGTCCATGGAGAGTAGGGGTCAGGACAATTATATTAACTTGACCTCTTCTTTTCCATGTAGATTAATTTCTGTGCCCCAAACCAACAAAATGGTATGTTTTCAGAGTCCTAACCCTTTGGGGAGTAATTTTAATTTAATCATTTAGCATGATAAGAACAACCAGGTTCTTGGTTAGTGCAAAATATCTGGGGGATTGTTGCAAATATTTGGTAATGTTCACTAAAGAGCGAGAAAAGCATATTACAACAAATTGATTATAAATGAAAGCTGTCTTCATGGAAAATTAAAAACCACTGTCTGACAATGAACTAGTACTCCATAGCACAGTAATTTCTAAGAGTGCCATTTAACAGAATTCATTTCTCAGAATGCCTTCTCTTTTTTCTTTTTATTATTCTTCATTTTAAGAAAAAAAATGGAGGCTTGTGCAAAATTCTGAATTATAAACCTGATTCATACTCCATATAATATAATGGAAAAAGCAAGTGCTTTGAACTGAGACAACAGTTTGAATCCCACTTTTACAAGGCATTTGCTAGGTAAGTTATTTCCACTCTGTCATTTTCCAAGTATCCTCACTTGCAAACCAGGGATAACAACCCTTACTACACAGGGATGTTGTGAGAGCTACTTATATTAACATAGGAAAAGCACACTGCCTGGCATGCTGCAGGTGCTAAACTGCTGCAGAAATGTCAAGGTCTGGTTTCTTAATGCATCTTTTTCTCCCACCAGCACTCAGGACAGGATCTTACACATTGTGAAGGTTCCCTTTCCAGAGGACCTATGGAGGCATTTCCACTTTTACTTCCTTTCACTAAACTAGTTTTGCAGTTTTCTTTCTTTCTTTTTTTGTTAAATTTTATTTTAAGCTACGGGATACATGTGCAGGTTTGTTACATAGGTAAATGTGGGCCATCGTGATTTGCTGCACCTATCAACCTAGGTATTAAGCCCCACATGCATTAGCTATTTAACCTGATGGTCTCCCTCCCCCTGCCCTGAAAAGAGGCTCCAGCATGTGTTGTTCCCTTCCCTGTATCCATGTGTTCTTATTTTTCATATCCCACTTATAAGTAAGAACATTCAGTGTTTGGTTTTCTGTTCCTTTGTTAGTTCATGCCAGTAAGAATGGTGATTACTAAAAAGTCAAGAAACAACAGGTGCTGGTGAGGCTGTGGAGAAATAGGAACACTTTTACACTGTTGATGTCAATGTAAATTAGTTCAACCATTGTGGAAGACAGTGGGGTGATCCCTCAAAGATCTAGAACAAGAAATACTATTTGATTGACCCAACAATCCCATTACTGGGTATATGCCCAAAGGAATATAAATCATTCTGTTATAAAGATACATGCAGGCATGTGTTCGTTGAAGCACTATTCACAATGGCAAGGACATGGAATCAACCTGAATGCCCATCAATGACAGACTAGATAAAGAAAACATGTTACATACACACCATGGTATGCTATGCAGCCATAAAAAGGAACAAGATTATATCTTTTTCAGCGACATGAATGGAGCTGGAAGCCATTATCTTGAGCAGTTTTCTTTCTTGTCTACTGACAGGACACAGTTATTGAGGTTTGTGGATCATTAGTCCCTTTCAAAGTAAAAAAACCCTCAGAGTAGTGCATATTCAGGTGGGCAGATAGGCATCCAGATCCTGGCCACAGTCTTGTTTTTGGAACTGAGAGGAATATTCAAGGCCCAAGATTCCTGATCTCAAGGAATTGATCATCTATGGACACCAAAAATATGCCCATGAAACCACACCAATCAACCACACATTTAGAGCCTTTTTATAATTTTTGTGTCCTTCACATCAAACTTTATTCTATCTCCTTC